ATTGTGAGGTCATCATTATTGGGAGTTAATTGGGAGGTTGTCATTACATGGTGTTAATTGGGAGGTCATAATTACTGGGTGTTAAGTCGGAGGTAATGATGACAGACTATAGTACAGTCGAGTTTATACCAGGAAGGTCCCTGGTAATGGCTGGTTTATTTGTTTAATAGTACAGCACTGTCGGAAATGCTAGAAAAATGCCTTTTGCCTGCGAAAACAAGATAGAATGTTTCACAGACTGTTGCTATTGAAATATTAAGTAACTACTGATCTACAAACCTGTGGTTTGAAGCATTTCACTAACCAGAAAGTGTTATAAAAAATGTTACTGGGAGACAAATTCGAAGAAAAGAGCAAGTTCAGGTTTATTCTCAGTCCAATGAGGGGAGTCAGAAACAAACAAAAGAAATATGTGCATGTGACTCTGTCATTCTAATGATAATGTCGTCTGTGAGAATGCACAGGCCAGTATCAGGTCATCACCTCGGGACAGGTGTTGGGTAATTACCTCAGGCTAAAGGCTTTTTCATACATGCATGAAAACACATGAACATTTTCAAAGTTTATCGTCATTTTATCAGTAAAAGTACCTCTTCAGGCTAATCACAGTGTCAGTTAGGACAGGCTACATTAGGTAGATTTACATCATTTTGACATATGTTACTTTCATGTGATTCATATTTAATAAATGCAGCCAAAAAAGCATTTTTCTAGCATTTCCAACAGTAATTTAACATGCATATTTAAAATGTGACTAATCCACACTCAGCATTAGAAATTGGCACTAGTCCTGTAGTCCTTACCAAACTGCCCATAGTAAAGGTATCCAAAGGACTACTAGAAATTTTGCTATATGTTATCATTATAAGGACTAGTGGACAAAAACTGTTAGTTTCTAACCCTGACACTCTAAAGCATGCTGAAAACGCTACATTGTTACCCCAGGCATTGGATCAGTGTGCACTCGATGTTTATTCTGATCGGCCTGGGGATGACACAATCCCTGCTGTACACAGGACAACGTGCCATTCTTTGGATTTCTATGGTTCCCTGACATATCGTCCTTCAGAACCAGGACGCTGAAATGGATTTCTCTCTAGACAGAGGTGGAGTGAGTGAGTTGGGTTTAATACCGCTTTGAGCAAGTGAGTGTGTTGGGCTTGACATCGCTTTGAACAGAATTCCAGTTATATCACTGCATGTCAGCTTATTGTGGGAGGAAAGCCCCAAGTGATGCAGGTCTCAGATATTTACCACTTTGGTGAAACCTACGGGCATGGGTATGGTGCTGACAAACCTAGAAACATATTTTGGGCGCACTGGAAATCATACTCTTGATCATAGGTGTCTGGTGTACCCAAGGGACACAACTTTGCAGGGCGAATTGTGGCGCCCCAGATGACAGGGCCTCCTGTGCCCCTGCTGATGGATGTGAAAAAAGCAGGATACCTCATTCAAACAACAGGACTAAGTTTGAAACGTACAGCAAGTTAAGTAATAACCTCGATAACAACAAATTGAAAACACGATGTACATCTCGTGACTTCAAGTTTAAATGATTTAACTGCATAAATTAATCTCTGACAGTCCAAATCAATTCTCAAATCAACTTGTCCGACTTCATTCAGCACTTTGTAACTTTATACCACTTCTGGAGAACATATCTTTTCACCTTGTACATTAGTGACCAACAGAGATGGCCATCTTGAACCCTGAAGTCACACTAAATATCCAGGCTCTATGTTTTGTCAAAATCTAATCTGAGCTCATAAATCTAGGTCAGCTATTTCTGTAGACTTAACAATTAGCATAGGTGGGGCATGGTTCACTGCAAGTTAGATGTATCAAATACTCGCATCAAAAGGCAGCATATTTCTTTTCTGTGTAAGAAGTGATGTGTATCAATGTCAACGTGACACAAAGATTCACACTCAAAGCAAGCTGTAATATCACAGCTTCCAATTCTCAGTCAAGTTATATTTAAAAATGATCAATGACAAGGCCAGCAGGACAGTGGATGGTCTCCGTTAGACTGGAAGGTCTCTATTAGACCGGGGATGGTCTCCATTAGATGGAATGTTTCCATTAGACCAGGGGAAGTCTCGATTAGACCGGGGATAGTCTCTGGTGGGGATGGTTTCCGTTAGATGGAATGCCTACATAAGACCGGGGATAGTCTCCATTAGACCGGGGATAGACTCTGTTAGACTGGGGATGGTCTCTGTTTGACCGGGGATAGTCTCCGTTAGACCAGGGATAGTTTCCTTTAGACGAGATGTCTCCATTAGACCGGGCATGATCTCCATTAGACTGGGAATGGTCTCCATTAAACCAGGGATGGTCTCCATTAGACAGGATGTCTCTGTTAGACCGGGAATAGTCTCCATTAGACTGGGAATGGTCTCCGTTAGGCTGAGAATAGTCTCCATTAGCCTGGGGATAGTCTCCGTCAGACAGGATGTCTCCGTTTGACAGGGGATAGTCTCCATTAGACCTTGAATAGTCTCCATTAGATAGAATTTCTCCATTAGACCGGGGATAGTCTCTGCTGTTAGACTGGGGATGGTCCCTGTTAGACCAGGAATAGTCTCCATTAGACAAGGGATAGTTTCCTTTAGACAAGATGTCTCTGTAGGACCAGGCATGTTCTCCATTAGACCAGAGATAGTCTCCGTTAGACTGGGGATAGTTTCTGATAGACGTGATAGACGAGCATGGTCTCTGTTAGACCAGGGATGGTCTCCATTAAACGGGGGATAGTCTGCGTTAGACAGGATGTCTCTGTTAGACTGGGGATGGTCTCCGTTAGACCGGGAATGGTCTCTGTTGGACCGCGGATGGTCTCCGTTAGAAGGGGGATAGTTTCTTTCAAACGAGATGTCCCCATTAGACCGTCATGGTCTCCATTAGACCGATGATGGTCTCCGTTAAAACCGGGGATAGTCTCTGTTAGACGAGATATCTCCATTAGACTGGGGATGGCCTCCGTTAAACTGGGGGGCACGGGTGGCCCCGTCATCTAAGGCGCCACGATTCGCTGTGCAGAATTGTGTCCCTTGGGCACGCCAGAAACCTGATTGTGGGTTCGAATCCCGGTTCGCCCCGATTATGTTTCTAGGTTTGTCAGCACAATATCCGTGACCATAGGTTTCATCGAACAGGTAAACATCTGAGACCTGCATCACTTACGACTTTCCTCACACATTAAGCTGACAAGCCATGATATAACTGGAATACTGTAAAATGCGGCGTTAAACCCAACTCACTCACTCTCTCAATCACTCCGTTAGACTGAGGATAGTCTCTGTTAGACTGGGGATAGTTTCCATTAGACTGGGGATGGGGATGATTCATGATATGAGGACACTCTATGAAAACTCTATGCACTTCCTAAGCATTCACCTGATGAAGGAGCAAGAAGCTGCTCTGAAACATTGTGACAAAGAATAAACGAAGTTGCCATCCATAAATAGTGTCATGTATTCATGTGTAACCAGTCAACAAAATTCCAGCTATGTCAAAGCAGATCATATTCCATCAGAATATTCTTAAACATGCTAATAGAAAAACATTGGATGGTGTCCCAAAAAATTTCAAAATTCATACAACAAACTTATGTCTAAACATATTTTGCAGTGAAACAGCTGCAATCATGGTGTTACAATAAATTCATCTGTTTAAAAGTTGAATATTGGTTTGTATTCGTCATCAAACGCTGCGCTCAGCAATCGGCGTATTCCAGCTATATGATGGCTGCCAGTTAATAGTTTGTCCCAGGCAATCTGGACTAACATTTAGTCCCAGAAACAAAGTCATCTCATTTAAAATCTATATCTACAAAATAAAAAGCATAATCCAAAAGGATCCCAGACCAATGTCTACTTCTACAGCTGAGGCAATCTCGACTTGCCAAGTAGAGGATTACCGTATTCGACGTAATAAGCGCCCTGCTCTAATAAGCGCCCACGGCAACATTTGCTAATATATTGGCTAGTGAACAATCCCAATTAGCACCCCTTCCGATTGATCAATGTTCACAAGACTTATTTATCCGCGTACAATACGCACTCGTGTGTCATATGCACCCTTAATTATGGGCAATTAAATTCTAGAAAAATATTTCTGTCATACATAAACATTTCAGGCTGTCAGCATAAACCACGAAATTTATCTTTCAACTCTGTTTTTTTCACCAAAATAATATTCTAATAAGAGCCCCCTATTTCTAATTTTGAGAGCGCCCTGGGCGCTTATTACGTCGAATACGGTATGTACATTTACATTATACAATCATGTGTTGCATTAAGTTATGGTTCCTCTTCTGTGTTCCAGATCTCCATCATTTGTGATGTCGAATAAAAATATCTCAAAACACTGGAGACAGACAACAGACAATCCAGTGATTTATATTATCACAGGGTATGAAACTCCCAAAAATTTCACCCAGATCACAGGACTGGCTAGCTGAAATACTTGCCAGCCCTGACCAAAACCTGCCTGCCCACTATAATCATATGTTTCTCAGGATAATTTAATTAAAAATATGAAAACTGATTGCTTGTAGCATAAGCGCATCGCTAAATGTTAGGTTGTCTAAAAGCTAACGGGGTTTCTTTTTGGTTACATTTTATCATTCATCTTTACATCTGAATTAATGCTTATCATAGGGAAATATTTAGAATATTTTCACCTATGAAATATAACCCGACTGTCGGGCAGGGGGTTTGAAAATCTCTCAGCCCGAGTTGAAATCAACCTGTCTCGAACGGTTGGGCCGGCAGTTATTTGGAACGCTGATTATCAGTAATGCATTAAAACCGTCCACCCAATCCACTAAATTGTCTCCTTTCACAGGCATAAGATGCGGGGGACCTATTCTAAACCCAGAATCCCCACAGGGTTAATCTGTATGTAATTTAATCAATTTAATGAAGTGTATCTGTAATATTGTTTGGGGTATACAAAATTTCCTTATTTCATCACACATAAAAATATCTAACCTGCATCTTCTTCGTCCAGCTTTAGCGCTTTTGAGATGTACTCGAAGGCCTTCCTGTGGTGATGTTTCTGTTGCGCTAGGGCCGGCTCCCCGGGGCCGACGTTACTCCTACCCCTCGGGCTGTCGGTCATCATGGAACAGCCCTCCTCTTCGTCACTTTTTCTGTTATGATATCTTGCTGGAATGGCTCGTCGACTTTTACAAGCAATTAAAATAACAACAATCCACAGTTGATACACGAACGTTCGAAGTAAGGCAAAAACAAACAAAAGGGGTGCAGCGACGATACGGAAATTTCGGCTATGGATTGATTCATATCCCCTGGCGTTCGGACGGCCCCTCCCCTCCCCCTTTCTACGCCCAGACCCCCGTCCTGACCCAGGCCCCTTCCGATGCATAGTTCTCGCTATCCGCCATATTTTGAACAAACAAAATTAGAAGATGCTATTTGTATTACGAGAACCGTTTATCATAACGGTACTTCTCGAACCTCTGTTAGATCGGCATTCAGCCGTACAACTCAACCTAACGGTACAATATAAAAACCGCTTCACGTCCCCAAACAAAGAGAAGGATGCTTTGAGTATGCACACGGAAAAAGGGGTGTACATAAAAAAGGGTAATACGTTGCTTTGGTCAAGAAGGTTATTAGCTTTTAAGTTAACAATTTGCAAAAATATTAAATACAAGAACAACATAACTCGTAACATAATCATGTTAGTGCTAGATTCATATGTGTTAACAATGAGATTAATATTTCATACAGTATTATTTAACAGACCTATTGTTTTTCACGCGTTGCTGTTATATCAAGCATCATACTGTTACGTAACACACGCATTATGTGTTATTTCACACATACTATAATTATTTCACACGCAGTACTGTCACTTTACAAACAAAATGATTTCACAAAAAGTACGACCCGTGGAGATCCGTGTTAGAATAGACAGACAGACAGAGAGACGTGTTAGAATAGGTCTTCAGTAACCCATGCTTATCGCAAGAGGAGACAAAGGGTCGGGTGGTCAGGCTCGCTGACTTGGTTTGATGCATGTCATCGTATCCAAATTACGTGGACCGATGCTCATGATATTAAACACTGTATAATATGCTCCAGAAAACAATTATTTACAGACCTCCGGGATATAGCTGGAATATTGCTGAGCCCGGCGTTAAAAGAACAAACAAACAACACCATATATACTGTACTGCTCACAATGTTAGTTGAGTTGGTTGGTTGGTTGGTTTGTTGTTTTACGCCGCACTCAGCAATATTCCAGCTATATGACGGCGGTCTGTAAATTATCGAGTCTGGACCAGACAATCCAATGATTGATATCATGAGCATCGATCCACACAATTGGGATCGATGACATGCATCAGCCAAGTCAGGGAGCCTGACCAACTGATCCCGTTAGTCGCCATTTACGACAAGCATATTCGCCTTTTACGGCAAGCAAGGGTTGCTGAAGACCTATTCTACCTTGGATCTTCACGGATCTGTTAGTATTGAGAGAGACAGCATTGTTATTTTCACCAATGTATGGGGTATTTCATAAGCTTTCATCTTATGTTACTACATGTTAATTCCGACATTTAGTTAATACATTAACACTCTTTTTTTACTTATGCTGATGGTCCTATTCTGAGTATTTGCTCTTCACGACATCTTGAAATACAGGGCACTGAAGGCTGTATACGCAGTCTGTGATACAGAGCTCGAAACAATATATCAAATACAGCCCAAGTAAGTCTATAATACTTGGCAAGACTAGATTGCAGTTTCAGTTTCTGAAAATGAAGAAAGTCTCTGGGCTCATTTTATTATATTTTATGAGACAATTTAACAGCTTGTTTTTTTCTGTAAAATATTTTCATTTCAGAGACTATATGATAGTCTAGGGGATACGCTGAAAAATGTCACCGTTGATCAAGTTGGTGAAAACAGTCATAGACGTTTATATGTATATGCACGATATCCTCCTCCAGTATTTCGCCTGGTCTAAGAAAACACGGACGGTGAGAGGTGGTATCTTCAGCACACGACGATATAGTATCTTTAAGTACTTACTATCCCCGGAAAAGATGTACACTGATAGTAAAATCGTGTATATATACTCTGCACGGTCATTCTTTTTGCAAGTGCTAAATAATGGTGTTTATAAGATTTATATGTATGATTCTGTGAATTTTCGCCGATTTTAGTTAATGTGCAATAACTTACATTACTAATGTTTATCACTATATGCAACAACACGACACTTACATCTTGTCGGAAACAAAATGCTAGCGATAATGATTGAGAATTGGTAGTTGTATGGAATATGTGATGCATCGTTTTGACAGCCAACCAGGGAAATCCCCACATTAACTCGATAAACCATTCCTATAAATAACACTACATGTATGGATTCTGTATGAACGAGGCAAGTCCTCTCTATAAGGAAATGATGACGTTTCGAGGATAACCTACCAAGCGCGATTTGATTGGTGATTGAACGCTGCATATTCATGAGGTCAAAATCTTCCCGTTCATAAGCAAATGACGGGGACAGTACATGATTGTGAGCGTTGGGGCGTGGTGCGCCTACGACGGGTTTATACATTCCCCATGAAGTCGGCATCAGAACTGGGCAGGAACGAGAGGGACATGTCGCGACCTCGTCAGATAGCCAGTTTGCAAGAGCAGTGCAGAAGGAGTATTCTAGCGAGGATATCGATCAGACATGTGCAACAAGTTGCTCGACTCCCCTTGCCTTGTGTTGTCAAAGATTTCCTCACGACGTTCAGATTCACGGAGGATTTTGACTTAAGCGGTATGTACATCGATTATAACTTTAACTTCCCTCATCATGCGCACCACCGTACCCACCAAGTTCACCCTGGGATCTGTACTCTGGACGCCACGCAAGTTCTCCTCAAGTGCCTTTCAGACCAGCCGTGTGAACTCTGCGGAACTGCCCGAGAGGACTTTCGACTCAGCCGGAAAGAGCGGGAAATATGGGAATCGCTCAAGCATACAAACCTACAAAACTGTTTGTTATCAAATGTGAAAAATCAACACAACATGACATGCTATGTACTGGAGTTTCCTTTGATGAATATTCAGGAATATGCCTACAAAGTGTTCATGTCGGGGAATGTGGTCCCTGAGTTTCTTGTGTGGGAAACCCTATTGAAATTGACATCGGTCTTTCTATATTTAGAAACCGAAAAAGTGGAAGCGTGGGATCTTTGCCAACCTGAACACGTCGTCATTGACAACAGAGGAGAGATTAAGCTCGAGAACCTTTTGTTGTACTCGCCAGCCCGTAACCTCATTAAACCGCGTCGGAATGTGGGTCCACGACAACCCTTTCAATGTGCAGCCGGGAGGGTCACCGCAAACACTATTGTTGTTGGCATTGGTAACGTAATTTCACATCTGATTGCGCCCGTCCCGACAGTACTCGTCAAAGATAAGATCACCTCTACATTTATCAACCACCCGCGTATCTCTGACTGGGTGTGCATGAGTCGTTATTCAGAGAAACTAAGAGGAACCGTCGCGCAGTGCATGCGACACTCCCCCAGGCCGATGTTAAACAAGCTAAGTGCTACAGCGAGGGGGATGGTGAATCTGTTGGGCCCCATCTATAAAGGCCCGTACAATCTGTTGGAACTTATCAGGGATAACAAGGTGTGAATAAGGATTATATCTACACAGTCGGCAGGTGTGTTCAGTGGACATTTAGATTGACATCAGTTAAGTCATGAACATCTATTACCAAATGTGTTTTGCATTCCAAAGTTTGACTTCCATAGCAAAGTTGACATTATTTTGTAAAATGGTCCTATTCATTCAGGATCAAAATATGAAAAGGTATGTTAGAATATTTTTCTATTCCACAAGCCAAAGAACCGAATTGCCTTATAACATACATTTTACATACTTAGACTCAAGCACTAAATATATATATTTTTTCAACATTGAAAATGTTACTACTTGCAGAGACCATGTACCGGTATATGGTCTGCTACATAACAGTACCTATGGTAGAAGTCAACTGACAGCACACTTCATTTACTGTTAATCATGTTGATGTAAGTTGTGATACAGTTGGGACACAATGTTGACTTATCTACTGATTTTCAGTATGGTTAGATATTGTATAATACTTATAACATGTTTACATTTAGTAGAACTGCACTGGGTGTTGTTAGCCCACCTGCTTCGGCTGATATGAAGTTTACCATGTTTACTGTTAACAGGCATCGAAAATTGGTCCATCGTTCCTCATGTATGTGCCTTTACTTTATATTTTTGTGAATACATGTGCCTTTATATGAAATAGATGACAAATTTAGTAGCCTGGCCAATGTATTTTTTTATGTTTTATCATATGCATTAAAGACCAGTCACAATATTCCACAAAGGTCAAAATAATGCATTTATAGAAATGTATGGATGTTCGTGTAGCCAATGTAGATCTGACTTGTATGTTCATTCCTAGTATACATGATATAGACAGGACAGAGTGGGTGGTGTATCCATTGAAGTTGGACAGCTAATAGTCTGTCATACAGACCCTGAAATAAATATATCCAATATAGCCCATGCAAGTCTATAATATTTGGCAAGTCTAGATTACATCAGTATCTGAAAATGAAGAAAGTTTCTGGGCTCCTTTTTATTTTTATATTTCATAACTATTATTAAATAACTGTTTATTCTGTAAAATATTTTCATTTCAGTGACTAGATGTTAGTCTAGACAGCTATGTTGACAGTCTGTGACTAGTCTGTAGCCCGAGTCTAGTGAAATGTCTCTCAGTCTAGTAAGATATGCTGAAATATAACCAGACATTTACACAAACATCTGCTGAAAATGATGTCAGGAGACAGGTTCGTTCGGGCTAGTAGATGGCACAGTCTGTAAATAACAGACACAGAATTATCCATTTAGGCAAACAGGAAATAATTAATAATTCTGCAAGTAATTCAAGTAAATGTACAGGATCAAACATGAATAGAAACAATCAAACATGAATAAAAACAATCAAACATAAATAAAAGTGGTTGGCACTTTTACAACCCTGGAATAATAACTGTTATTTCAAATGCCTTTGAAAGTAGCTGAGAGGGAATTAAGAAAATTTATTGCATTTACTAGCAGTCATTATTCTCCATCATGCAAACGATTGGAAACATTTAGGAGAAGTACCAGTAGTTTCATGTCAATTGCTGTTGTTAGGTTTGGCATTTGGCAGTTCCAGTGGGCCTGGTTATCAGGAACAATTAGCCTTTAGGCGCCATCATATGTAAGCTGATAACACATGTTTCTGCTCAGTGTTTGGAATGCAGACATCTTCTGTAAACTTGACCAAGCAATCCTGCGGTCCTAGACTATTCATCCCACATGGGCTGCGATGGTGGTCTGCCAATCTAAACCGAGTAACTTGTTCCCTGAAGTTGGCAGGACCTTGCATGTATTTGCCTATTAGAACTGTAAGGAGTGATGTATATACAACCTATTAGAACTGTAAGGAGTGATGTATATACGCCATTGTTCCCACACTGCCATGTATACCTCACAACTAATTTACATATATTGTTTGTAAACTGTTCCCAAAGTTGTAAAATTTTGTTTAAGTAGAAATTTGTTTTAAGACTTGGCATTAAAGGTTTTTATGTTAATATTGTTACCATGGTTACATCATTACTTCCCCATTAACATCTTGCATAAGAATTTATTGTAACCATAAACATGAAGGAAGATAAAAATTGTTTTTTAGCACAATTTTTGCTGATTTACAAGATATACAACTTAATTTACACAAAATCACATTTACAGCTGCAAATTACGAATTATTATATTGATCACATTTTCATGGTATGTTGATTCAATATATAGTGTTTGTATTTATGTAAGTACTTATAAATAATCTGAAC